TTTATTGCATTTCCCATTGTTTGGGAAATAAATATTATAGTTCAATTATATCTCATTGGGTAGCTAAAAGTAACCGTGAAATATAGCAAAACTAATATCATTTCTAGTATATTGGATTTTTAGGATATATAGTCCATGAGGAAAAAACAAACAACAAATAACACTAGGACTTTTATTCTAGTGGTTCCAGTGATAACCGAAATAACCATTTTTAAATTATTTGTAATCATGAGTGCATGCTGTGATTGGAAAACCACACAAATGCACACACACACACACACACACACACACACACAGTTTCACATAAATATATTTGAAATAAGCATATATTTATATAAAAAGAAATTCATAGGAAGAAAGAAGTATGAGTGCTCCGAATTATACTTAGAAGATCATAAACAATATGCTTCAACAAGAAAAATGTCCTTTACCCATAATCACATTAAATATACCTGTTTTTTCTTCTGTGCTTCATTGGAATCTAACAGGGCAGTGTTAACAACAGGCAAAGTTTTCTGAGCTGCCTTCAAAGCAGCTGGATTATATACTGTTTTTGTCAAGCCAGTAGAAGTTGACAACACCTGTAATAGAAAAATCTTTCAATTTAACTGAAAGCTAAAGGATAATTTTGAAACTTGTAAAATCAGCAGTCACAGAATGCTGTTGAGTCAAGATATGATTTTCCTACCATACATTCAGAAAACCTCTAGTTTCTTCAAAGTAGAAAAAATGGAAATTTTAAAAAGGGGGTTGTCTTATTTATTTATTAATCAAATGTACATAGCTGGATATCACATTAATTTTTCTTACAGCTCCTTCCATATTATAATATATTACAATATATGGAAGGAACAGTAAAAAAAACTAATAAATTGTATACATTAAAAAGGTATATTGAAATTATGAATTGTGGCTTGCTAAGGGAGTTAAATAAGTTTTCAAAATAATCTCCAGGAGTTTCATGCCTTAAATGAATTCTCTCTTACCAGCTTCTTTTTTCCCAAAAGCTTATGGACATTTTATCCAACTTAAATTATCCTGGATCACTATATGCATATTGGACTCATCGAGACAAAAGAATGTAAACTCACAAATAAAAGGCAGCAAGCTTTTAATGTGCAGTTTATACCCACACTATTCAGTATCTACCTACTCTATTACCCAATGTGCAAATTCCACTAGGTAAAATAAAACTGTACTGAGTAGGAGTATCATCCCAATACTGAAAGTCACATAACCACAAATGCCAAGCAAAGAGATGAAACCATTAAAGCAAAATATAACATAGCCTAGCAGGCATCATCTGGGTGCTTTGGGCAAGAACTCCCCTAATCTCTTCCTACCAGCGATGCTGACAGAGGTTTATTAAAATGTTAATCCAAAAAGGGTGCTCTTGCCAAGAGCTTTAGGAATTGCTTTAGCAATTTCCTGCTGTTAGCATTACTACACTAAAGTCAGTTTTAAATGTCAAGCAATTTCATTTTCTCTATGTTAACAGATGCTGCACCAAATTCAACCTGGTTTTGTTAACCACCATCTTGGCATGCAACTCCATCTTGGCATGCAACTCCATGCCGAAACAGCAACTATTTAGGTTTCACTGATGATGCCTATTTGAAAAACAAGCATGGCTAGTAGCATTTCAACCACCTTCATGTCACAGCTGTCATGGTTTTAAAGAAACTGACAACTATTTTGCATTTATCACACATGAGCATCTGCTTTGAAGCTGACTCGGATTAATTATGAGATAGTTTGCTGAGCATTATAATTTTCTTACCTTTTCTGTAGTTGGAATAGATGGTTTAGGCACAAACCCAAGTCTATCCTTTACAGAAAGTTTGGTTACATTCTAGGTGAAGAGAAAAAGGATCTGTTTAATGTTTGTAATACATGTTTTTAAATACATTTTGTCTCACTTTTAAGGTAGTTATCTAAAACCCAACCAATTCGGTCAAGATAAATAGAAGATTATAGACGGGTTTTGCAAAACACCCATTCCCTTCATCTACAGCATTTTGGGGCATATTTCAAAACATACAGTATACAACTTTCTGCTGGATCAAATACCAACTTGGGAAAAAATTAAGCTGCAAGCTGATTTAAAAACTAGCGAGCAGACAATACAATAAACAATGAAACAGGGCCTATTTTGATATACCATTTCCATTCGCTGCATAGAAAACAGAAGAGCAAAAAGCAGTGATTCATTAAAACTCACGGTGGCTGCTCAAAGCAAAGTTATGGAAGTCTATCATCCACAAGAGATTTGGCAATGCAGATAGTCCTCAATTTATGATATGACACACCCCAGACTGAAATGTTTTAAGTTTTGTTTATATACCCAACTTTCTAGATTGGCCACCCCCCACCACAAATTCATGTAACATTTATTTTACTAATGAAGTTGCTTTAATTAATTTTTCAATGAGCTTGTGAGCCATTATATCCTCTCTCTCTCTCTCTCTCTCTCTTTTTTTGCAATGGGGAATTTTCAAAGATAAATAAATGAATAAAAACCTTACTTGAGTATTAGAACGCTTTAATTCTTCAGAGGCAACAAGATTAATTAATCCCTTTAAACATTTTTGGTTATTAATTATTATCAATTCAAATATGCCATTTTATTAGACATGCGAATTAAACATAAAAATCATTTCCTTTTTAACATGTTCCGTTTACCATTTATATTGAACAGGTGCTCCTGACAGAGAAGAAACTATATAGTTTGGTTTTTCAGACTAAGAAAGTTAAGAGTCACATTCACCTGAACAATTTCCGCACTGGCACTCTGTGCTTCAGCAGGTTCAATGTTACTGATAGGCACCGGGCCTAATCGTTCCTTGACTGACTGCTTGACAACTGGCAAAATAGGCTGCTGGACTAAAGGCTGTATTACCTTAAAAAGGAAACAGAATCTTCATAATAGTTCATAAAAAGTTCAACTCCGAGTATGACTGGCTTCTAGACATTTTACCATTATTCCTTTTTCCGTGATGTTCTCTCATCTATTTTGGCATAGTTATATTTTCAGTAAGTTTCATAAGGCCATAGTCCTGAAACTACTCAGATTAGTTAAATCTAAAAACAACAGTTTAAGAATAAGTGTTCTTTAACCTTTCCTCTTCATGCTAACAAATTCTGTATGACTGTGTTAATATCCTCAGATTATCTTTCCAATAAATAATTATATGGTTCTATATAATACTTCAGAAATGGATTAGGGAATGAGTGTTGTGCAGTTTATCACCAAAATATACTCAAAGTTTACAAATAATATTTAAGAGCCATGCATGCTTAAATATGTGTTTTACAGAAGTGGTTGAACCTCATGAAACATCTTTGAAACATTCATTAATAAAGCAATCTTATTATTTTTTAGGCTTATATATAAGAGGGGGGAGGGATGTTTTAATGAACAGCAGAGACATTTTCGGCATAAGACTGAGAGAACACTGAATTATGAACAATATTATTATTTTTTAAATGAAACTAGGAAGGGCAAAGAACATCTTACAAGAACAATCAGGTACTAAAATGCTATAAGCTCTAACTGACTGTTTTTCTTATAGTAAAACAATCAAAATATTTAACTGATTTATATTCCTAAGCAAAATTCTTATTCAAATAAAAAATATTGATTTCTTATTATTGATTTGGAAAATTCAAGATCCAAACTTCTTGAAAACCATGCTAAAGTAGATTTTTAGCTTAAAAGAGCTATCCAAATTAGTCAAATTTTATTCTTTACCTTCGGAACTGAAGTTGTAATTGGGGGAGTACTGCCTTCTCTATGCCAATAGACTTTGATAAATCGATTATTTAAGACTGCTTCTGTACTCGATATTGCTTTTTTAGCTTCCTCGTGGGTAGCAAACTGGATGAGGGCACCTTCTGGATCTCCCTGGTAGGCAACCTATGATTTTTGAAGGAAAGGCAAACACAATGTAGAGATGCAGAGTGAGTCTTTTCAAAGAAGCACAAGATTGTCAAGGAATGTCATTCAGAGAATATTCAGATTATTAAGACACTTAAGAGTTCAAGCAAATTTTACTAGAAATCTCATAAAATATAATTTTTAAGTAACCTCGTCTAATTTGTAATTCCTAGTCGGGAAGTGGAGAAGAATATTCAGAATATACATTTCTGGGCATTTTACTGAGCATGTTTTTGGTACAAACAAACCAAATTTTCTTGCAATTTTTAAACACCCCCCCCCCCCAAAAAAAAGAAAACCCAATCCCAAATCATAGACTTTTAACTGGGTACAAAATGAATCAAATGTTTATGGGAAGGCCTGCCAAATGAACTTTTTAATTTTTTTTTAATTGCAGTACAGCAAATTGTAATACAGGTAAGTCCTTTACCTATTGACCAGAACTGAGCCTAAAATTCGCAGTGAAGCAAATTACTGCAGTTGTTAAGTTAGTGACACGGTTGTTAAGTGAATCTAGCTTCCCCATTGACTTTGCTTGTCAGAAGGTCACAAAAAGGGATCACATGTCCTTCGGACATTGCAACTGTCATAACTACATGCCAGTTGTCAAGCATTTGAATATGGATCTTGCGACCATGGAGATGCTGCAATAGTTGTGAGAAACTGCTGTATACTATAAAGCAGCCATAAGTGACTTATTTCGGTATCTTTGTAACTTCAAATGGTCATTCAATGAACGGTTGTAAATTGAGGACTGCCTGTATAGATTGAGAAGGAATTAGTACCTGTGCCACTTTACAAATACGGAGACAGGCAATCCAATGCCTTTCAAATGTTTGGAATTCAAATTCCCATCAGGCCCTATCAGCAGGGACAATTGCAAAGAAATGTGGAATATTTAGGTCAAAATATCTGGAGGAAATAATGTTACCTTAGGATAACTGCAACAGATTAATTCCCTGCCAATATTTAACTTCTGATTAAAGCTCTCTATTTAAACAGATGTTACATCCATGCTAAATTTTCAGGGCTTTATGTATTAGAAAAAATACAACCGTCATGATCCATGTTCCAACTAGTAAAGAATTTTAAATATAATATTTCAACAATATAGTAAAAAGGTTTACAGCACTGTTTCTCAACCTGGAACATTTTAAGATGGGTGGACTTCAACTCCCAGAAATCCCCAGCCAGCCACGCTATCACCTACCTGCAAATTCACTAAATTTCCAAATTTGCAGAAGTGTTCATTTAGTTTGCTGATATTATTAAGCTCTGGGGGAATTCTCCTCAGTTCAAGTTTTGTGTTTTCATTCCCAAATTGCATCTTCTTCTGGAAAGCAGGACTATTTGTTCTATTAAAATTTTGTCTGGAAAAAAAATATCAAATGTTTAAAGTTACTAATAGAAATCAATTCACAAGAGGATAGTTAAAATGTGGAATTAAATGATAAATAATCTGAATTCCAGGAAGCATCAATTTTTAAACTGTTTTAAAGCAAGAAAAGCTTCAGTATACCAGTATCGGCAGCTACCCAAGTAAGAAAAATCAAATATTAATTCATGATCAAATGCCAGCCTCTATCACATATGTCTATAGATAAAATATCCATGATCATAAATGAGTACATTCCTCTAGATTCTCATGTTTTCCTCTATAGAAACCCCTATTGTGCTTGTTTAAAAATCTTAAAGATTTAATCTTGTGTATATTAATGTGTTCGGTCCCCCCTTCTCTGCTCTTTAACAGACGACAGGCAGACAAACCTAAGAGGAACTCACTTTATCAGTCCTCGGCTCAAACTGGCTGCGAGCCCAAAATAAACCTAAATAAAGTCTCTGCCTGAAGATAACGGAATGCAAAACAAATCTCTCTTACGGCAAAACAAGGTGTACAAAAAGAAAGCAAAGCACTTCTCCAAGTGTCTCTCACAAATAAACNATCCTGGATCCAATTAAATGTTTCAATTTGAAAAAATCCATACCAATCAACAATAAAAAAGAGGGAAAAATGACCATTTACTACCAAGATATATTTTATTGGCTTACTTTCTCAAAAAAAAAAAAAATCTGCTTGAAAAATTCATTCACAAGAAACAAAATAGAACTAAAATTCTTCCAAACTCATAAAGCTTTGCTTATGTCTTACTTGTATTGAAAATATATATGGCATCTTACTGGAATATGAAAATTGGTAGTTCTTGAGCAACTGCCTCATCAATGATTCCTCGCAGTTATGAGATGAAAAAATAACTTTGCAACTTATGCCCACATTTACAATCCTTGTGGCTTCTTTCTCTCATGTATTTGTCTATACAATCAGTACATGTTCTCCTGTGTCTGACATATTTTTCTTTCTTACCTCCTCACAGGTAGGAGAAATTGCCTAAGTAAGCTAGCCCTGACCTGCTTTTCTCTACAGCACAGTATGTCCCCCTAAAAAGTCCAAGTTAATTAGTTATTAGAGCCATCCAGGTGTGCTGCTGCCCGACACTGACAAGACTCTAATCAATTTTATACTGAAGGCTTTTTTGCCTTCCAGACAGTTAGTGGTTTGTAACTATCAACTTGCTAGGCAAAGAGCTGGCCCTAATGTATTACTTTAGATCTGTATTTCCCATTGTATGCCTGCTTACTCTCTTGTAATCTCTTCCTCTCCAATAAACTATAAACATATTTTTTTCTTGCTAATAATCGCAGTGTTGGGATGAGCATTCCAAAGGGTGGGAGAGTGAGGGAAAAGGGCTATAAGATTTGCCCTTCTGCCCTGCTTCCTTGTGAGTCAAGTTCCACAAACTTTCCAGATTTGTTTGGGCTCACCCAGTGGTTTGTGGTTGTATCCGTCTGACACTGTAAAGCAAAGGAAAGCTGAAATAAAATAGTAAGCACAGTTGCATTCATATTATTTTTCACTTAGTAACTGCTTTTTTGATGACTGAGTTACCATCCCAATTGCAGTTGCTAAATAGGGACTGATTCTCTCTCTTTGTTCTTTGATTTTTCCATTTAACTAGCTTTACAATACAATTTTAATGACATAAATCTACCCTTATATCTTAAAGGTATATATTTGACTATTATCATTCTATTACCTTTTGTGTTTCAATATGTTTTTCCAGGATCTCTTGTTTTTTCTTCCTCACATCTTGCTGAAGTCTTAATGCCTCCTAAAAATATAAAAATCCCATGAAGAATCTCAATACCTTAACTAATGCTGCAATAATTAAAATGCCTCCAACTATGTATGTACAGGTAGGTACACACACACACACACACAGTTAAATTCATTAAATATTTTTTTAATTTAAAATAATCATTATATCTGGAAAAAGGCGCAAACCATATTATATTTTCACTAAATTAATACATATAATTTTCTAACCATCACTATATCTGAAGAATATCTGTGCTAGACATTCTCTTCTGGTGTATGGGATATTTGTTCAATTTATATGCAGAAACACAATAATTTAAAGGCATCATTGGAGGAAACTAGGTCATCAATTCATTGAACAAAATCAAATATATTCAATTCCTATTATTGTAAGAGTCTATCATTTAACTTGAGATTTAAAGAATCCTAAAAAATCTAGCAAAAGAAAAGAACTGTCCATAATTCAAGCAGGTATTCTTCAACATGAGATTGTTATCATGGTAGTATCATTGTCGAATTTGTGGAAAGATTGCCCACCATGTCCATTCTCTGGTTCCCTAGAAGAGCTGCATAGAGCCATTCCAGAATAGTTGAATTGGACATAGTTATGAGGCCACTGCTATACTTCCATGGAAGTTTTATATGTAATTACATGGATTGTCTATACGTTTACTTTTCTTCATACACTACATAATAATAATAAAATGAGGAAGTCCAGGTGCCTCTTGAAAAAGGCACCTTTGGGGTAATTGTGGAATTGTAACAGTATTTAATATCTTCTTAAATCTTATATCTCAGTGTTTTATTGCATTTCCCATTGTTTGGGAAATAAATATTATAGTTCAATTATATCTCTTTGGGTAGCTAAAAGTAACCGTGAAATATACCAAAACTAATATCATTTCTAGTATATTGGATTTTTAGGATA